AAATCTCTTCGGTTGCTTACCTACATGACATCATTTAGAATTAGAGTCCATCTTACAAAAAAATCAAAAGCACAATGTATGTAGGAATTCCTCGTCTGTATTTCCGAGAAAACAAATGAGGCCTCTGTGAAACAGTCGACATTTGCTTCAAGTTGACGGAATCGTTCCTTTATTGAGTATTGGAACATCCTCAGCATGCTTTTAAACAGTTTTAAAGTACATCGGAATTAATGTCTTCAAAGCTCTGCCGAAAAATCTTTTTTTTTTTTTGGCAGAGCAAAGAAGAACCGAGCCATCGCAAGTTTGATCACTCAAGTTCCTTCCGAAATTGTTCCCGCGAATATTTTCTTTCCATCCAAAATTGGGCTTGAGTGAAGACTACTCGAAGCAAATACAGTATTTAATAAGCATTTATGCTTCTTTTTTTTTAATTTTTTAGATGTTCAGAAAATGCGTGGAATGCAGCGAATTGTTCGAAACAGCCCCTTTGCTACGGAGACACAAGCAAGTCGTCCACGGCTACAGACCCAACACCCGAACTCTTCCTTATCACATTTGCGAAGACTGTGGTCGCAAATTCCATCGCCCGTATTTATACCGAGCTCATCGCCAAAAAGAACACGGGGAACCGCTGGACGTACCTGTTGAAATGCATCCGTGTTCCGCGTGTTCCGTCGTTTGCGACTCCTATGGTGGCCTTCGTTCGCACTGGAAAGGGGCTCATGGATGGTATTTTAGAACCCAGGCCGAGGTCGGGATCGAGTGTGCTTTGTGTGGTAGCTTTCTCAAGGAGAAGAACGCGTTCCGGGATCATCTGAGTGCTGATCATTCCATTAACGTGGCTGCGAAACATATCAATCCGTATGTGAAGATGCCGCCGAAATTGAAGCACGGATCGAGGAGGCAGAAGTTGGAGGAACCTTCTGAGGATTTAGAACTGTTCTGAGCACCATTTTTTTTTTTTTTTTTTTTGTCATCGGGGGATTTTTTGCATGCTTGTGAGTCCCGTGTGAGAGGTGCTGCTATCAATTATGCTTGAACGATTTTTTTTTTTTTTCTTTGAGGATGAAGTTCTTGAAATTCCTGTTGGATTTGTTGTTGAATTCTGCAGGGAGTTTTTGTGCGCTGAGAAATTTCGTGTGTTGAACTTTCTTCTTTTGCGAAATTTATTTCTTGAGATTTGGCTTTGAGAATCCGCGGTGTCTGGAAAGTTTTTTTCAAAGCAAAATTTTTGTCTCTAGATGTTCGAACGACCCGAAATAGTTCCATCGAAATCCTCTCTAAATCAGTTAGCTAATATTGTGGATTTATGGTTGTTGAATTCTGCAGGGGATTTTTATTTTATTTTTTTAGTGAAAATCGGATATGTTACGCTTTTTGTTTGCGAACTTTGTTTCCTCAGTTGATTATTGGTCTCGAGAATCCTCAAAAATTTTATGTTGGATGAGGAATTTTGTCTCCGACCAGAAACAGTCCGATGTGAATCCTTGCTGAGTCGTTTTTGAATTCAATCCTCACATTTTCCGCAGGAATTTTGAACGAAGCCACATTTTTTTGAATACTTCAATTTTAAATTAGGACAGTAACTTTTCCGTAACCAATTTAATATGGTAATACCAGACTTGTCATTGATTTGTTTTTTAGCTCTCAGGGTCATGCGTGATATTGATCGTCATTTCGTTGAGTCAAATTCCTCCTTTCTCGCATATTATGGCAGCACTTTTCCACATGTTATCCTTCGCTGAAATGATCACGATGCGCGTTTTTTGTTTGTTTCTGGTACAAATTTTGGAAATATTTTTCTTTCGCCGGCTATTTTTTTTTGTTCGGCGAGAAAGCGAAAAGAAAAGCAGTTTTGTATGATGAATTGATTCTCATCTTGCGTGGGAATAGGTTTTTGATTATTAATGATTGTGATTTATTTCGTATCTTCTTTTTCCTTTCACAGGCTATGAGTGAATCTTTCGTTTTCGGAAATTCGTCTTATCGCGCGCAGTCACCATTTCGTTTGCGGGAAATGCTCAATCGAGGAAGCTTTCGGAATCTCCGCGGAAGACGTGATGAAGTGATTTTATTCAACGGGAATCAAGCATGAGACATTTATTAGGAAAGTTGGACGAGGTTTGAAAATCTTTTCAAGTGTGTTCTTTGTTGATTCTTTCATTAATTGACAAATAGTTTTCTTTTTAAAGTTTGCTGGCAGCAGTGGCAGAATCTTTTAGTGTTCATTCGCGGGAAATTGGTGATTGTGAAATGTGATCTTTGAATCCCGTGGAAAAGTGGAGACTGTGGAAGGTGATCGCGTAATTTACGTGTTGATGAGTCTGAAGGGAATCTTCATGTAAAGTGAAGGAAAATTTCCCTCTTTATTTAATTAATCTCGATACTTACGACTCCTTTGTTATGCCCTAAACATGGGGGCATACAAAGAGTTTCCCTTATTGCTTTTATACTCCCCACTCTGGTAATCTGTCATGTATCGTCTGGCGAACTGTCGTCAACATTCTTTTTTTTTCATGAGTCTTCGTTACTGAATATTTTTTGACTTGACTTGAAAGTTCCCGTACTTCGGAGCTTTCTTGAATTCCTGTCTCGTTTTCCTTCTCTCTTGCTCTCGCTTTTTTTTTTAATCATGACTTCGTTTTTCTAAACTTTTCTTTTTCTATTTTGACTTCCCTTGTAAAAAAGATGCACGTAATGCATCGTCTGGTTCGAGAAAAACGCCATGAAGAGGACGAATTTGGTGGTTCTGGCTCTTGGTTAGTGATTAGCTGCCGTTTGTCAATTTATCGTAATTCTAGTAATTATACTGCAAGATCTTCTGATGAGTGATGTTAGTCTTGAACATATAATTTTTCTCTTCTTAATTCAATTTTTACCTACAGCCGTGTGGTGCAGATTTTTTTGAATAATGTAACCAAAAATAAGTTGAAACCAACTTCGGGATCAAAGCCCAAATTAGACATAGTATCAGTTTCTCAGGTCTCAAGTACAAGCTCAAAACTTCAATCCATCATCGAATATCCGTCTGTCATTTTTTATTTCAATTTTTTCAATTTTACGTTTTTCCTGTAACCAGATCTCCTGAAAACAGCTTGGTCAACAAAGTCTGTATTTTCAATCAAGGAAGTGCAGAAAAAAATCGTACATTTCGTTTTCGGAGATCTGTGGAAATGGAGATTCTTCCCTGCGGTTTTGGCGGAATGGCGTGGAGTCCAATTCATCTTCTTCGTGGCCCATAAAAAAATCAAAGAAAAATTCTACATTTGAGCTTGCGAGTTTATTTTCCGCGGTGGTGTTGTGGCGACTAATGAATGATTAATCTGATGATTAACTGGCGATGTTCAGCCATACGATGATCGTTTCTTCGTTATCGCATCCCAACGGAATAAACTTGTGTTCGGTGTCACTAAACTTTTGTCTAGCAACAAATCTAGAAAACGAAAGTTAAACCTTTGAGGGTTAGTGCAGAAATCGTAAGTGAGAAAGGAATGGTCTGACTTTGAAATAAACGAGATGAAAAAGAATGTTTTGTAAGAGGGAAATAAAGAAAGACAGCACTCAGCCGGGATACCGGCCTGCCCACAATTAAGAGGGCTGAAACTTGATTTGGTTTACTTCCTTTTCTTTTAGGATGAGGCAAGACAATAAGAAGACACGATGAAAAACGAAGACACTGAAGTTTGAACACTGCTCGAATCGAAAAAACCGCTCGGATTAGGCAACCGCTCGGATCAACAACCTTTTGGTGAGTTCAGCAGGTTTTGAATGCACAAGCGCCTCGCGAAACTCCGATTCGAACACTCTGAAGTCTCACACAGGAATGGGTAATGTTACTGGGTTTTCACCCCTTTTTATCAACTTTTAATTTCGCGCGTAGATTCAGCAGGTTTTGAATGCACAAGCGCCTCGCGAAACTCCGATTCGAACACTCTGAAGTCTCACACAGGAATGGGTAATGTTACTGGGTTTTCACCCCCTTTTATCAACTTTTAATTTCGCGCGTAGCTTTGTGTGTTCCCGCTTCCTCGATTTTTCCTTCCTCCTCTGTGATTGGCCTCTTGCTTGGCGCCATCCGGTTTGCGACGGTTGCTTCTTGAATTTTTCTCTAGTGCTCCTTCTTCCTTCGGCGATTTTTTTATTCTTTATTTTTATTTTTTGTTTTTTAGATATTTTTCCAGGACATTCGGCTCTCAAAAATTGTCTAGTTGCATACTTACATTGAGATTACTCTTCTTGAAAATTTGATTATCCGCCTTTAATCGATCTTCGAAGATTCGTTCTCCGTTGTCCGTTTTTCTTCAATTTTATTCCTTTAGAAATTTACATTGTAAGAGTGAATAAATAATTGATGTATGTGTGTACAGTACTGTACATTTTATTTCGTCAAAATTAACTTAGTGCAGCTAATTTCGGATTATACAAAGTTTCTAATAATGAAAATTGAACTCTTTCATGTGAAGAAACTAATTTTCAGCGCTGTTACCAGAAGTCTCTTCTCTTTTATGCAAGTTTTGAAAAAATTTGCTTAATGTCAAAGCATTGAAAAAAATTATCTAAAATTTACGTCGAAAATATACGATTCTGTTCGGAAAAGGGACCTTCTATTCAGAATTTTCAATGCAATTCTTTTTTATTTTGATTCATTATTATCTACTGAATGCTTGGTGTGACATGTGCCTGTGGTTCCTGAGTGATGCTACTTCGTGTCTGTGCGTTTCACCTGTTTCGGATAGAATGGGATTGTGTTAAATGAATTTTCGGATGAATTTCTTCTATATGGCGTACGTACGTACTTCATTTGAGCAATGTGTCGCCAGCATAGGATTGTCAAACATCGAGAAATACTACTCAAAAAATTCCGTACTTTTTCTTATTTTCAAGTATTGTAATCTTATTTAATTTAATTTTTAATAATAAATAGTAATATGATTCAATCAAAAGTGCAAGCGTGTTCATGAGTGTTTTTTTCCAATAGCTAATGCCGCGCATTCATTTCAGATCATGAAAATATGTCGGTGCGGAAGCGTACGAAGAAACTCTGTGAAATTTGTTCCAACTCGGTGGAAATTGAAGTGACGGTCGCACCGTTTCGTGCGTTCGACGATGCGGCGGACGTCCTCAGGCATTACAATATTTTCCGTCAGAATAAAAACCTATTGAACGTGCAGCTGTGTCATCAGTGTTTTTCACTGGTGAAACTTTGTGATGACCTCAGTGCCGAACTTTCAGGGAAAGTCAAGCTGCTGAAGGAGCTGAAATCCGGGATGACCCATCACGAGGAAGACGCAATTTATTCGTTGAACGTTAGTCTTTTCGCCGTTACGCCTTTTTTTTTTTTGCCGTGAGGAACCCTGTTTTTGAAAGGGTTTTCCGTCAGAGAGAGTAAAAACGTTTGTGAGGGAATTTTTAAAATATGCAAAATTGAAAGGGCCTTAATTTCAATAATTTTGGCTAATTTTTCATTCAGGACAAGGCATGTTTTGTGTCACTGCGTGAGTTGGTCCTAAATCGAGGTTTCCAAAAGCAGTGAAAGGAGATTCATTCAAGGGAAATATTTTTGGTCTTATGGATGAATCGAGGGTTGACTTCATAGCTTTTTTTCATGCACTGTACGTATTTTCTTGACGATTCACTCGAAATTGACCGCGCATTTCTATATATGACTCAACTCTTGGCGTTTAGTTTATTTCCAAATGCATGAATGGTTTTCATCCATCAGTTTTATTCAGTTACGAAGTTATGCTGAAACGTATTTTCTGTCTACTTCGCGTTGAGAATTCTCTGTAATTTTTATTGCCTTTTTTTTTAAATTGAATACTTTTATTCCCCTAGGGCTCTGATCCGTTCCTAAAGGTGATCCAATTGGGCCATGAGCCAGAAGTCAAGTCCTCCATCCCTTCACACACCAACGACGACATTATTCAAGACCGATTGTCGACTCCAATTCGAAAAACTAGTCATAAGTTTCCTGTATCTTCATCAGATAAGTCAAGAAAAAGATCTCAAGCTGCGTTCGAGTCCCAGAAATCCTTCCCAATCATCTCGACTGTCCACCATTTTTTTGCTGAATCTGAAAATGATTTGAAGGAAACGCCGATGGAAATTCTGGGTGACCAGAAACGTTCTCCTGTGCTTTTAGCTCGTGTACCGAACTATGAAAGAAAATCGACAGAACCTGACCAATTGGAATCCGTGATCTCAATACTGGAGGAGTATGAAAATCTGTTGGGAAAAGGTTACGGTTATTCGCCTGGGGAAGATTCTCGTCTTGAGACGGACAACAAAGAAAAAGAACTTGCAGACGACGTTTTAATAGAGGAAACTGACGAAGAGGATGTTGAAGAAATAGAAGAAGAAGACCACGATGACGTGATGGAAAGTGACGAAGATTTTAATACACCGGGGAAGAAGAAAGGTCCTGTTGTTCGTTGGTCCAAAGACGACCCGGGGTGTAAAAATCCGCGACCTTGTGTGAAATTTGTTGAAGACTCTGCCGATGCGTATTTGGTGGATGATTACGTGTTTGAGGCCAGGAAAATCCCCTTGTGTCCGGAATATTTGGTGTTCGTGCAGTGCAAAGGAGAGAAAGGTCCTCCAGTCGAGGACCGTGGCAGCAAAAAGCCTGTGAAATGCGGGGTCTTGGGAGTGGTGAATTTGAACGAGAAATGCTTTTACTACAGTTTTCACGAAAGCAAAGAAAGTCACAAGCACAAGTCGAGGGTTGAGGAAACAAAGCGTCGGATGGCGATGCAGGATGCAAAGAAGAAGGTTTGTGGGAAATGAATATTGGCATTACATTTTGGCCACCAAAATCTGGATGTAATGAATTTTAAGGCTGTGTACATATCTTGGAATGTCCATGTGTTGCATCAAATTTTCCTTTAGACTGCGATGAGAATATTTCTAACAGTGAGACCCCAAGATGCGGACGTAATTGGTGCATCAAGAGTGTCCCCAAGTCAAAATGTCCCTAAGTTGAGTCTTGTTTTCCCATAGACTTACATAATATAATTTCTAATTGGTGTTTTGTGGAAGAAATATTCTTCAGAATTCCCTGAAAAAAATTTTTTGCAACTTGAATTTGAATTGGTGAATACATATTCAACTCAATAAAAACATTTAGAGCATTGAATAGTGTATCTCTGTACTGTACACTGAAATTTTGGCATCTACAAAAATAAAATTCTAGTGAAAAAAGTATAAGTCCCTGTATGCTGGAGGTAATTTTTTTAATTAGCTAAATGGATGGTAATATGGTGAGAGAAATACCCACAAACTTTTCTTGCATCAATTTCAGGGTTGGAAATATCTGTTTCTTGTAATTTGGCCTGAAATGTATTTGCAAAAACTTTTATTGCATCAATTTCAGGGTTGGAAATATCTGTTTCTTGTAATTTGGCCTGAAATGTATTTGCAATTTTATCACAAAATGTCCCTATGTTGAGTCAGTGTCCCCATGTTGGGCCATTTTTATTAATTTCATCTGGGAAAATAAGTGTCCCTATGTCAAATTATCCGCAGGTCAAGGCGTCTGCATTTGGGGGTCTCACTGTACTTCTCCTTTTTGGCTAAAAAAGTCCTATAAATTGAATGAAAATGTTTTTCTCAACTTCGAGATGCAGAAGAAAACCGCACATAATCTGCTCTTTTGGCATGAACAGGAGTCCAGAAAGCAAAAAACAAGCACACATATTGCTATTCTGTACAAAGAAGCATGAAATTAGCCTCTTTTGGATTATGAATTGGAGTAAATTTATGATATTTATTTTGAATTTCTATTTGTGAAAAAGCTCAATTGGTTCAAAAGGTATCAGAATTTTGAAGAAGAAGAAATATCCATCTTTCTGGAAATGTTTGCTACGTGTTCATTTCTCAAAAAAATGTCCAGATTTAGTGAGTTTATAGTGCTTATAGAAAGAGCTCTGAAAAATACAAGCCCAAAATTATTTTGTACTGGATTATGAATTACATTACTGTACAGTGAAATCATAATAACATTTAATTACAATTCAATTTATTTTGAATTTGTATTTGTGAAAAAAGCTCAATTGGTTCAAAAGGTATCAGAATGTTAAAAAGAAGAAATTTCCATTTTTCTGGAAATTTTTGCTACGTGTTCATATCTCGAAAAAATGTCCAGATTTAGTGAGTTTATAGTGCTTATAGAAAGAGTTCTGAAAAATACAAGCCAGAAATTATTTTGTACTGGATTATGAATTACATTACTGTACAGTGAAATCATAGTAGCATTTAATTACAGTTCTTCTGAATATAATTAAAAGCTAAAAAAAATTTCAAGAGCTGTCACAATTTTTATGAATAATTGTGTACTGTTTTTTATTTTATTTTAGAATCTTTGGAGAGCCGGACCACGGACCAAGCCTTTCGTTTGTGATCTCTGCCCGTATCAGACCCAAGCAAAGTATGCCCTCTACATGCATTATGCCAGGATTCACAAAATACCGAATGCCAAGAGGTGTTTCGAGTGTGGTCGATTCTTTGCTCAGGAAACCGAGTACGAAAAACACATGGCCATGCATCTCGAGGAATACCGAGACACGGTGTCTTGTTTAACGTGCCGGAAAGTGAAATCCGCGAACCGAAGTTTCAGAAGACACATGAGAAATGCGCATGGGAACAAAGTCTGTTGGACGCATGAAGAAAGAAGGGCTGCTGGGATCTCGTTGTTCATTTGTGGACTCTGCAAGTACGTTTAGTGCATCTTTTAATTACTGCAGTACCTTCCTGTTGAATTTATTCTAAAGAATTTGATAGCGTTTTTTTTTTGTTGTATTCTATTGAAAATATTTTGGGTGCCTTTCGGACTCGCTTGAAAAAAATTACTTGTGTATGAAGCTGTTCGAAAATGCAACTGTTGACTCATTCAACATATTTTTGTTTTTAAATATATGGTTCAAGTATCTTATTTACTCAAGCGCACCTTTTTTAAAAATAGAATGGGTCAAGCATGAGGTCCGCGTCATAGTCAATGTCCTTCGTAAATAAAGTTCGTGACCTTTCTAAAAATTGGAAACTCCTCTCCCCGCTTTATAAAAAAAAATTCCGAGTTTTCCATTTTGATGACAGTGTTATTCGTTTGAAAATATATAATAAAAAATCACCGTTGCATTGGATTGTCAGGAGGGATTTTTACGCAACACAGTCTTTCGAATAGGAATTCTAATGGCGAAGAATTAAGATGCGTGTCTTATGTGGGAATAATATTAAATATATTACATATTTAATATTTAATAATATATTGTAGCGAAACGTCGAAGGTGCGCTTCTTAATCGATTAAATACGTTATGCTTGTCGAGTCTTGAAGGCAACTGTGAACTTGAATTATAGATGTGTGGAAGCATCTTACAAGTGATAAATTTATCCCCGAAATTTGTTTTCTGTGAACCAAGCTGGCAATTTGAAGCACAGATGTGAGGAAGTGTATAACCAATAATTAATTTATCCTGTTTGATTTTTTTCATTTTGTGGAGTAAGTGACTATGAGTCTTCGGTTTGCAAGCGAAACGTTTTTTTCGGTTTCACAGCTGAAAGATCACAGTTTTTGGTGAAGTTTATGCCGCATTGTGTTCATATGACTGTGGTATTTGTAAATAATGAACTTTAATCCGTTTCTCGGAAGGTTTTTCACGTCAGCGATGGACGACTTCAATCTGCATCGCTTTGCGGAACATTTCGGAAAGAAGTCGGTCAAGTGCGATGAATGTGATACCTTAGTCTGCGGGATGCGAGCCTTGAGAGATCATAAGAATGTGAAACACAGTGCAGCTTGTCTCTACGAATGTGTTGACTGTCACATGACCTTCAAAACGCGACAATCGTGAGTTTATTTTATTTTTCTCCGTGCTGTTTGACCTTTCGAAACGATAAATTTCGCTCATGTTTCGGTTTTGCAATATGAATGCTTTTTTTTTCAGGTTTGGTTGGCACCGAGTCACGCACAAGGCGAAACCCGAGGAAACGGTTTGTTCGTTCTGTGGACTGCTTTTTTCGACAATCAAGATGAGAGAGCACATGCACACGTTCCATCCTGAACAGGTGAATTATTTTTGCAATTTGGCATTGGCAAAACCTGTGCGTAAATGATGGCACAATATTTTTGGTCTAAAATTTGATCAAATGTCTGCTGAAGGGATTCTAAAAACTTGAACCATTTTTTATACAGTTATGAAAATACCGTTCTTGTGATTTACTGCTTTTTTTGTTGTTGTTGTAGATACTGTGATTCTTCTGTTAGTTTCTCTGCTACTTCGAAAAATTGGCTTCAGTTACAATTTGAACCTTCTAGAGAAGACCCTTGTATTTTACTTCTTTTTGGGTTATCGTAGCCGTTTCAATCTTTCTGCTATTGTATATTTGTCTTCAAAAATACTTCAATTTAACTTTCAGTCCTCTTGAGAAACCCTTGTTTTAAATTTGTTTGGATTATCTTATAAATTCAAGTGCCTCTGTTTTATCTGTTCCTTTAAAAAAAAAAAAAAAAAGAATTCAACTTCACTCACGACCCTCTCGAGAAGACCCTTTTGTTTTTCTTCATTTTATTTTTTAGATTGTTGATCAAAATCTTATTGTAATGCCACAGGTGGTATTCGAGTGTCGCGTCTGTGAAGAAGTCCTTCCGACTCGAAAGGACTTGCACGCCCATCAAGAAGAAAAGCACGGGAAAGTGAAGCCCCACTACCCTCGACTCCGGCGTCCCGAAACCGTGGAGTGCGCCTACTGCGGCACGACTTTGCGCCAGGCCGCCTACACCCGCCACCGGATCCGCGTCCACGGCGTCGCCTTCATCGGAGAAGACGTGTTTCCCTGCACGGGTTGCTCGCAAAAGTTTGAACGCCTCCGGTTCCTCAAGGTGCATCAAAAGGAGGTTCACGGATGGCATTACGAGTGCCAAGTGGACTCAGGGATCCAGTGTAAAATTTGCCACGAGGCCATTCGAGTGCGACGAGAGTTTGTGAGGCATTTGAAGAAACAGCATCGAGTTTTGGGCATCACGAATAAGACTTTTATGCAGTATGTTGCTGTGCCTGAGGGCGCTGTTGAGCTCGTGCCGGTGAAAAGTGCGGGGCGGAAAAGTGGCGCCGCTGTCAAGGATGAGGAGGAAAAGGAACCGTTGATAGTGTAGTAAGAGCTCGTGTTATTTTGACTTACAGTAAGGGGGCCCCCGACACCTGGACGATTCGAATTAAGGACACCTCGAAATTTAAAAATATGTGCCCTGACATCTGGACAATATCTCGAGATACGGTACACTTCACCAACATTTGAAAATTTTTATTTGACTTCTCTTGAACAAATTGAGTCTTCGTATACAGTATTATATTCACAAAAATTGGAAATGTATTTTATTGTAAGCCCCCTGTAATTCATAAATCAAAAAAGGCCATTTTTTGCGTGAGTTTTCAGATTTCCTTCCAATACCTGTGCACAGTATTGAGAGGCTTGTGCTTGTCCTTTGTTGTTGTTTTTTTCTGCTTCTTATCATGCCAGATGATCAGATTCCATGTGGTTTCTTGCTTTCTTCTTTTGCACATTTATTTTCTGTACTGTATCTCGAAGTTGAGAAAAAATGTTTACAATACTCAGGGGACTTTCTCTGATTTTTGATCAATAGGAAAACAATTTTTAAAAGTATGCAGTGTTCTCATTGAAGTCAAAGGGAGAACTTGACTTAACATCTGGACTTTCTGATATTGGGACAAGGTCCAGACACCAATTACATTTGCATCTTGGGGCCCCACTGTACAGTAATTTGAACGAACGTCTCAGATTGTGTGGTTTTTGTTCCCCTGGGATAGGTATCGCTTGAAGCTTGTTACGTATTTCCGGTTCGGGGATTAGGTCATTTTACATCTGGGCAGTTGGCTTAGTGAGATTATTGTGATATGAGGTGTCTCTAAAAGTTATTGTGCGAGGGTATATTTTTAATTTAATTTTTAATAAGCATTGGAGTTTTTTTTTACCTTGATGAATGTTACTGGCATCCGAAATCAAATTTGAAATTCACACTGAATGATTCCAATGTTAATCTTCGTTTTTCTGTTGCATCTATAGAGAAAGGAGGTTAGTTTTAGTAATATTTAGAGGTTGATTGGGGTTTTCAATGAGCTTTTTAAATGCAAATCTGTGATCAGGAGCCAACTTTTTGTCACGCTGGTGACAACTCATTTTTGAATTATTTCGAATTTTGGAAACGCATCTTTTTTTCTGTGTGCGTTTAACCCAAGATTTTTAATGCGTCAGAGAATATTACAAAGTACTTGCTCTGACTTTTCCCGTGCCCAATAACTTTTCAAAGATGTTTCAATTTGTTTAGTCAAGATTGTATCATCTTATCAGCATTCAAGGAAGAGCGGTTAAGGTTTGACGTGAAATCAACTTTCTTACGTTGATTTTGAAAATTTGCAGCGTCTGATCCTATTGCTCACGAGAATATTGTTTTATTTTCTCTGGTCGTCGTGGAAATGATTTCCATAGGATGATCAAGTCATTTTTCTTTATACCAAAAAAAGGGTTTTATACATCATCAACAATTTCTCTCTTGAGGATTTTTGGAGGTTAACTGAAAATGGTGGATCGATTTTCCAACGGAAAGATGAAGAGTCGAATTGGTTTACCTGTGATATGATTTATGCGTCGTGAATTCAGATGAAAGGGTACATTTTCGGGAGCTTGTAGAATTTGACGTGCCTGATTTTTTTCATCTTTTAAATGTTTATGGTGGTCATGCGAATCTTGATTGAGCCGATTTCAGACATCACTGGCCTGGTAGTGTAAAATTATGAAAAATAGACTCGGCTTTTTTTTTTATTAGTTTGTTGCTCCAAGCGTTGGAAAATTGATCCTTTACTTTTTTGTTTACCCTGTGTTGCTGACGAGCTGCTCATTATTTTTCTTCCTGCGATTTATGGTTTGTTAAAATAAAAATCTGTTTTATTTATCAATTTTTGTGATAGGAAAACGTGTCGGAGTCGGATAATTGAATGCATTTCGGCGTGATTTCGGCTCCGCGGATCGGTTGACGACGGACGATTCGGATAAATTACAACGACACGCAAAAGCGGAGAACGAAATGGCGCGAGCTGCGAAACTCGCGAAAGTGAAATGCGCGCTGTGCTCGGAAGACGTCGTTGGCAAGGTGACGGTGTCTCCGTTCCGAGCGTATTCGAACGCTGAGGACTTTTTAGTGAAGCAGGGCATTTTGCGCAAACGTCGGTCGAGGACCGACTTGGAAATTTGCACGAAGTGTTATTCCTTGGTGAAGAACTGCGACGATCTCACTGCCGATTTGTCTGATAAGGTGGACTTTTGTCGGGATTTAAAGGCCGGGAGGAAGAAGCATGACGCTGGGGCTCATCCAGAGGTTTGTCTCTCTCTCTCTCTTCCTCTTTTTTTTTGTGATTCCGAGTGTCCTGATACTTTTGAAAATCTTTGTAAACTGCATGAAATCTTCCATGTGTTCCGAACTTTTCAAGAATCTCTTTGGGCTAAATACGTGAAGCTAAAATAGTCACTGGCCTGGTCCGTTTCAAACTCTTGGGGAATTTCCTTCGTTATTTTTTTTTTTAAATTAACGCGTTTATCAGAATGAGCTAAAAATACAAATGAGCTGAAAAATGCTCGGAACACAACCCAGAATATCAACAAAGCTTGTGTCCACCTTTAAAAGGGGGGAATGTGTAGCAATTCATTAGTCTAATATTTTTCATGTTCTTCGGACATTCCTGCTAAAGATTTTCATGTAAATTGACGCGTTTAGCGAGAAGAATTGAGAATAGAAACGAGCTAAAAATACTCAACGCAATCGAGAATATCTATAAAACTTGTGTTCACCGGGGAAAAAAGGGGGAATGTGAAGCGTTGGAGCTAAATTCACTGACCTAGTAAATCTTTTTTAAACTCTCCGGGAATTCCCTTTGTACAGTTTTGCGTAAATTAACTCATATGGCACCACATGTCAAATATAGAAACGAGCTGAAAAATGCTCAACATGATCAAGGACATATATCTAACATAAGTATATCGTGGAAACGAGGTGGAAAATACGAAACGATCGAGAAAATTGAAATAGCTTGTGTTCACCTTAAAATTATAATGACAACCTTCTTTCCCACTTAATTTTTTATCTTTAAAGGAGAGCTATGTCTCATGCATTTGTTTAACCGAAGCAGAAATGTATGTTGGTGGGAGTTCGTTATGCGAGAAGTCTGTTATCTGGTGGATCAATTTTTTTATTTAATCTTTCAGTTCTTCATGCGAGCCGTCGTGAAATCAGAGAGACTGGACTTAGATTCTTGCCAAGAAAACAACGATCAGGACTCGAAGGAAGACGCCGGTGTGAAGACGGAGCTGCGTAATTCACTCAGCACCCAAAAACCAGGAACCCGGACATCCGCCCGAACCGCCAAACGAAAGGTCTCTCAACCCGATCCCTTACTTCCGGATCAACTGGACCAATCCGCGTACGTCGACTGCGTCCTCGACGACGACGACGACGACGACTTTGGCGACACTTTCCCTTCGTTCAAACCCGACTCTGATGACGAGGACGACGACCCGACTTACATGGGCGAGCCGTCGGCCAAGTACGGGGAACGATGGTCCAAGAATGACCCGACTTGCACGGATCCGAGGCAATACCGGAAGTTGAATCGACGAGGACCGGATCATTACGTCGTCGACGGACACGTGTTTGAGAAGAGAAGCGTTCCGATTTGCCCCGATCACCTCGTGTTCTTGCAGTGCAATCACGAGTTGTCGGACACTGTGCGCTGCGAAGTCATGGGAGCTTTAAACTTGAAGGAGAATTGCTTTTACTATGAAACCGGGATGAATACGAAGAGTCATCGTCACAGAGCGTACGAGCCTGAGGTCAAAGCCGTCGGCCTGAAACCCCCGGTTCGTGAAGCACTTCTAGCATCTCAATTGTTGCCCTCCTGTAATGGATCATTTATGCGTATACAGTACAGTATAAGCATGCCCTTTTTTGTTTCGATTTTAGAAGCTCAAAAGCTAGGGAAGTGCTTATATTCGCATACTTATATGATTTTCATAAATTTGCGCCTATATATCAGGAAATCTTCCTGTTAAGCTCAGCTAATAAGCTGGAAGACTTGTAAAACAGTGACATCTACTTTCTGAAATCACAAAATTTTGAGGACTTTTGAAAATTTCAACATTTGTTCTTTTCATCAATAAAACCTGCCTCTCAGACTGCATATTTTCTTTAGCCATTCCCCGGATGCTTACTGCAAGCAATATCGAGTTACGATGCTTGGATTCCGCATGTATTAGGTTTAATTTATCGTGCTTACTCTAATGGCTGATAGATGTCGCCTGAATGAACATGACCAAAATTGAACTATCTGAGTATAACCAACTCAAGAATTAATAATTGAATTCTTTTGAAATTGAAGTGAAATATAATCAAGCAAGGGTCAGCATTTAGCACTTCAAGATGCATGAGTCAGTGATTGAAGGGGAAGAGTAAGGGTTGTGTGACATAATTTTTCCTTCTAGGGGAAAACCTAAACTTTAGTCAGAAATTGTAGGTTCCTGGAAAGTGAGAACATCAGGAAAGTAAGTGGAGGGCTTATATTTGCCGATAAATAGAATTTTAATTTGTTGCTCCAAATATCTAGGGCGTACCGTACCTATATTCCCGTAAATACAGTAACTGCGAGATCGTCAAGCTAATGGAACATAATGTGTTTAAGTGGTGGATTTCTTTGACATGGACTAGTTTTAGATTTCATTTTTATGATATGTAATGTTTCGCTTTTCGAAAGCATCCGAGGAAGCGGATCGCTTCTGTTTAGTGTCGAAGAGTGCTGTCTAAAATTTTTCCTTTATTTGTAACACTCTACAGAAGCAGGTGAAGAATATCAAGATACGGAAGCAGTTTGGGAAGAAGATCCGTCGGTGCGAAGTGTGTGCATTCGAGTCCCAAGCCGCGGATTTGTTCTTCATGCACAACACCAAGAAACACGCTGTTCCGGACGGGGAAAAGTGCTTCGAGTGCGGACGAACCTTTGCTACTGATGAAGAATACGCGGATCACATGGAAATGCACAGGATACAGTACACGGATGCCGTGGCTTGCATTTCCTGCCGAAAATCCGTTCTCAACGATTGTCTGAGGAAGCACATCATGAACACTCATGGCGGCGCCATATTGAGGACGCATGACGAAAGGAGAGCCGCGGGGTTGGATGTTCTCGAATGCGCTCTGTGCAGGTGGGTGAAACTAAATTTTGATCTTAATCGATGAAACGATCAGTAAAAGAGACCCCAAATTTACCCTCAGGAAAAATCATGACGATGATGTTTTGTTTTCAGCTTTTTCTGCACGTCGTCGTATCAGTTTAAGCACCACCGCGTTTCCGCACATCCCGGAGAAGACGCTTTCAAATGTGACAAGTGTGATGAGTGTTTTTCGGCGTATAAATTGCTGTGGGACCACAGAAACGAAAAGCACGTCAATACGTATCCTTGCCGAGAGTGCGGTCAGGAATTCCCGACGAAAAATGCGTAAGTCTGGTTTTTTTCTTTTTTCGGGGGGTTTCGTTGTTTCATTTTTCCCGATATCCGTCTTCAGTTTGGGTGCGCATCGCAAGACGCATACGATAGTGAGACCGACGAAGATTTGCCCGATTTGTGAGGTGGTTTTCCCTGAGGCCAAGCTTGCCCAGCACATTTCTTCACAACACGGAAAATCTGTGAGTCACAATTGAAATCAATTTCAGTGATAGAGGTCGTACCTCTTTCAAGTCAAATTTCGAGGGACTAGTGAGAAATTCGAGTTGAGGAAGTAAGCTTTGGGGGGAGAAAAAAGAATTACAGGAAATTGTAATCGGTGATTTTCTGGGCCACAAGTTGCTTCTGTAATGAGATGAAAGTATGCTGAATTAGGAAGAAAGGGTTCATTTTCACAATTACTTTTCCTTTTTCTTGAAAAAAAAAATTATTGATTTTCTCTTTCCAGTGTCGAAACAGCCAAAAGGTCTTTAGAAAATACGAGTTTTGAAGGTTTGAGGGGGAAAGTCTTCAAGTTAAAAGGCTTTTAATGTTTTTTTTTCCGAAGGAATGCAGGCATTGACTTGAAATTTGACATGGGGTTATTTTCGATTTCAGGACGTTCGAGTTATCGAGGTTAAAAAAAATAATATTTTTTATATTCTTATCTTTATTTTAGTTTTTACGATGATCAAAGATGAAGTGATCTCCTAAATGCGCAGTTTCTGTGACAATTTGTGGGTGTAATCCAGAATACACGAATTTTTTTTCTTTACTAAATGAATGTCATCCTGAGAAGCTTGGAATTTCTGAGTTTGCTCGAAAGAAAAATTAAGTGCTTTTCCTGTAAGTTCATAATTCTATCAGATTTAATAGAGCGTTCTTCCGTGTATCATTTCAACAGGAAAAGGTTCGATTAGCCAAACCCTGGCTAAAGAGGATTCGGAAGTGCTCCATTTGCCCGCACAAAGCGGGTCGAAGAAATGTTCTTTTCAGACACAATATCAAGTTCCACGCTATCAAGGGCGGGGAAAAGTGTTTCGAATGCGGACTTTCCTACTCAACCCCGGAAGAATTCCAGAAACATATGGACATGCATCGGGAAGAGTACAAGGACGCGGTTTCGTGCTACTCTTGTCGAAGATTCATTCATCGACTCACTATCGATAATCATATTGATACGACGCACAAGGGGAAGATTTTGCGAACCCACGAGGAGAGGAAGAAGGCTGGATATAACGTTTATGAGTGTCAGCTTTGCAGGTGAAATTTTGTTTTTTCGCTTATATTTTGAATGTTTTGGATGACCGCGTGGTTTTCGATTATATTTTTAAATTCTCCAGAGAAGTTTGGCCTGAACTTTTGAGCGTTTTGATAGTATTTTGAGGTTTTAAAAATTGGCTTGTCTTCTGTTTCTTCGCAGGTTCTTCTGCACATCAATGTTTCAGTTCGATCACCACCGAGTCTCAGCGCATCCGAATGAAAAGATTTGGTGTTGCAGTGCTTGTGGTGCCCATTTCAGAGATTTGCGAGGCTTGCGAGATCATAAAAATCTTGCGCACGGGGATGACAATTACTATGTTTGCGCCGATTGTGGAGAGAAGTTCGTGACGAGAAAAGAGTGAGTTCCTTTTTTTTTTTTTATTCGCGAAGAAAAAGGAGTTCCGAGAGTATGGTTTTTTATTTATTTGCTATCTTTTTTTTTCAGGCATCTCGCGCATAGTCAGACTCACCAGCCTTTGAAAGGGAAAAAGCTGTGTCCTTTGTGTGGAGCTCTGGTTTCTGCCGCCAAGATGTCGGATCATAACGTGGTGGAGCACGGGTTCCCTGTAAGTACTAAAGTTCAATGCAGTACTTGGAAGGAAATGTAATTGATAGGAGCTACGGAATATAGGTCAAGTTTTTGGCAAAATTTATCGTAAAATGCTGAAAATCAGTGAAAGCTATCGTGATTTTGTGATAATCATCCAAGAAGGTTAAAATCTATGCAAGAAAATTTGATCTAACAACTATGCCCGTTTTCTGAATTTCCGGTTTCATTTTCCACCTTGTGTGAAACTTCATGCATGAATGTTCAAGGCTGAACATTTTCAGAATAATTGTGAAGAATTGAAAAGCCTTGATGTATTCATCGAATATTCTGAATAAATTTCTCAGTAAATTCCACATGTTTTAAAGTTTTTTTTTCGGAATTTTAGTTGTCGGATTGTAGAGATTTGGAACCTGTATTCAATTTAATTTTTGAGCTTGAATATCTTGCCAAAAAAGTGCACATGTTGAGAGCATCGACCTTCCTGTGAACTCTGCTTTCAGCTGCAGCGATTTCTAGAAACTATTGTGGTACATAAATTTCCATGCAATGTTTGAGCAGAGAAGTTTTTATAGAAATTCTCCAGAGAAATGGTCAAGAATGTAGATGTCACTGGTAGTTCAAAGCTTCTAATCTGTTTTTGCGGCATAAAATATTTCATGTAAGCGCAGAGTTTCACAAAATTGTCTCGAGATATTTATCGATATTCTCAACAAATTTCTCAAATTTAAAATGCTTCAAGCCGGATTTTATTTATTTATTTTTTGTGGCACTAGATGTATAGAAACGATTGTGGTGCATAAATGTCCACTAGGCGTTAGAACGATAAGTTTCTACAAATTCCCAAAAGAACCTACATGGAGCCGTATCCAACTGTTGGTTCTACTTCGCGTTTCTTTTTTTTTCAACTCGAAATTTCCAGATGACTCGGTCCTGCAGTATCTGCAACGAGAAAGTCCCCTCAGTGAATGCCCTTCTCTACCACAAGAAAGTGAAACACGGAATCAAGCGCGGAACGCGTCCAGCCAAGAAAATCGTCTGCGAAGACTGCGGCAAAAAGGTTCGCCACTCGCAATACACTGCTCATCGAATCCGAGTCCACGGCGAAAAAATCGAGCTGGCTGAAACCTTTCCGTGCAATTATTGCGGACAAGTGTTTGAGGGTTGTTACGCTCTGCGAAGTCACGAGAGATCCGTACACGGATGGATCTACAAGCCGCAATCCGAGCTCGGCATTGAATGCAGTTTGTGTCACTCGATTTCCAGGGAACGGTTTGAGTTTAAGAAGCATTTGCAGACCGTGCACGGGTTGAAACAGGTGACGAATGAGGATTACCCCAAGTTCATGGTTGTTCCCGAAGACACGATTAATCGCGTGAAAGACAAGAAGCTGAAAGCTCTGTCGGTTGAGGAGCTGAAGAAGGAGTATTCGATCATTGTTTAACGATTTTGTTCGGGTTGCGTCACTGGGGAGAGAGAAGAAAAAGACAAGAAAAGCACCCAGAATGTGAAATCACGAGAACTTCATAAATTTTTAATAATTAATAAGGAATTAATAATCATTACTAAGGAATTTCTGGTTATGATGCTTTTTTAACGTTTGTTGAATTGAAAAAAAGTTTTTTGGAAAATCTAAAGTGCGTCGACGCGTGTCAAAATGATGTTGCCCCAAATTTTCAACAAAACCATCTCCAAAAACCCGATGCTTAGCGATGGAAAAAATCGCAAATATTCGCTCTCTTGAATTTTTATTTCTTCGCCATTAATTTTTCCATTTCAATTCGAAAAATCTCGTGAGGGAAACAGTAAAGGAAATTATAGTAGTATATCCGAATTGAAAGTTGCTGAATGGCTTTAAATATAATTTATTTTCATTTATTTTGCCCAATTTCATTCATCATAGTAGTTGGAAGGATTCTGCCGGGTGATTTTTTTCTTCTGGGTGCTTTTCTCTCTTTTGTTTCGTCGTTCGAATTACCCACATTTTTATTTTTTACGTTTTGTTCAAACTACGATTTTTGCTCTTGTTTTGGATCCTAGCTATGATTTATTTTATCATTGGATCTGACGAAGAACCGTCAATATTTCGCCAAAAAAAAAGAGTTGTCCGTGAACTTGTACAATCTTATATGAGATTTCCTGGTGTATGTCTCGATGAATTTTTTTTTTTAATACTGTAATTGTATGAACTGACGGAGAAAATTTGTCGATCAAGGCCAGATTGGAACCTTTTTTTCGTGCAGTACGTTTTTTCTGAGTGGAAAACTACCTGCGAGATTGCGTCGGTGTGGCGGGGGAGAAGCTCTTTGTGTGGAGTCGAACATTTAAATCTTGATTTTTCCTTGTCTTCGACTAGAAAGTCTTAGGTGTTCATGTCATCGAGTACGTGTCATTAAAAATGCATTTTTTGTTTGTAAATTGCGCGTGGTGCTGCGAAGCTTGTCGAGTTTGCGATGGTTTTTGTTCTCTTATCCCTAATTGATTGTGTGTGTTTTTTTTTTTGTTACAGGTCTTGATTCTCCGGATTGCTTGTGATCATGAAGTGACGCGGAAGTGTTGAATTCGTGAAATTATTCTATTAACTTGATACAGTGGTTCCCCCGCATAACGAAACTAACCTATTCTTATAAGAGTTTCGTAATGCGAATTTTCGTTGTGTGAAACGTGTTTTCCCTCAAAATTGCCTTGTAATTGATACAATTTTTTCCAGTCTCTCACTTGAAGACCGTTATAATCGATGCAATCTTTGTATTTTTTAGTAGAAAATTGTAAATTTAATGCGATATTATTTAGCATGTAATTGAAATATTCCGAGAAACTCTTGCTTATAACTTTCTGAATTTCTCTCACTGTGAGGACGAAAAGCTGTAAACCTATGCTTTTCTCTTCATCTTCATAAATTCATGAGTTTCACTTGAAAAGTTTGTTAAAATTTGCGCATTTTTTTGTGCCAAGGAATTTTGTTTTGTGAAATAATTTCGTAATTTTGGTCATATTTTCCCCCCTTCAAATGTTCGCTGTGTGAGTCTTTCGTTATGCGGGGAATCACTTCATATAAATTTTTAATATACGTAGGGAAAACTTGACTGAGTGGCTCTAATTTACCCGTTGCTCGCAGGACTTTGAAAAACCCTCGTCTTGAGGTAGTTGATGATTTATTGGCCGTGTTGAGATTAATGACAATTCAATTTTTTATTCATTCGCCGTGTTCCGCTAATTTTTACGTTCGAGCTTTAAAAAAATTAGATTTTGTGAAAATAATTAGTCTGTCGTTATACGAGGACTTACTGTTTGTAAAATCGAAAAAAACGCGAGAAAAATCGATTCAAGGATTTTAATTTACCCATGACTCGCAGGACTTTCAGAAAACTCTCGTTGTAACGTTATTTATTATTCATTTGCCGTGTTCCGCTAATTTTCACGCTTGAGCTTTATATTTTAAAAAATTTAGACTGAGTGCAAAAAAATATAATCGCAGAATGCCGCGCGGCGGCCGGCGAGCAGCAGGAGCCACGAAAGTGGTGGAATGCATTTTGTGTTCCGCTCCGTTACCCGAACCCAAGTTCGCCTTGGACAGTCCTTGTCAAAGTTGCGACAGTGTGCGGGATTTCCTCGTCAAACACGACGTCGTTAGTTTGGCCATGTCGACGAGCTCTGCGGTGGACCTGTGTGACCCCTGTGGGTTGTTCCTGCAATCCTGCGACGACCTGGTGATGCAACTGAGGAAGAGGCTGGATTTTTGCAAGGACTTGCGATCCGCGAGGGTTACGCTGGGGGACTGGGAAGAGTACGAGGCGGACTATGTGCCTTCCACGGGTCTGCAAAGCTTGGCATTGTCTCACGTGGGTGTTTGAAAAAAAAAACCACAAACATTGCAATATATTTTCTAATTGAATCTAATCAAGCAGTTGTTGTCAGAACTCAGAAATACCGTATTTAATCAAGTACCACGTGAATTCGTGAGAGACACGCGCCCAAATTTTTGTTTACCCTAAACATTTTGATGAAATTCTTTCATGACATTTTTCTCATGGACTTCAATGGGAATATTTTAAATTACTTCTGTTCTGCTGAAGAAAGTCCTCCAATAAATTGAATGAAAATGTGCTTCTAAACTTTGAGATGCAGAAAAATAACTGTGCAGAAGAAAATGACCCAGAATCTGCCCTTTTGGCATGAAAAGGAGTCCAAAAAGCAAAAATCAAGCTAAGATGCTGCTATTCTGTACAAAGATGATAAAAAAAAGCCTGAAAAGTGAAACACAAAATTAGCACGTTTTGGATTATGAATTAGAGTAAATTAATTTTTTTCTATAAAAAAAATCAAATTGGTTCATCATGTTTCGAATTTAAAAAAAATTACAATTTTCTGGAAATGATTGCGAGGTGTTTGAATCTTAGGACATTGTCCAGATTTCGAAGCAGATTCAATGAGTTTTAAAATATCGAATCGTCACATGTCGGAGCCCCGCTTGCAATGTAATTATTTTTTCATGAAAGCTGCCGTTTGAGCAAATTTTTTTTGCCCGGAATTTTTCCAGTCCTGATTCTTTTGTTTTTTTCATTTTTTTTCAGACATCTTCTCGAAGAACGCGTTTGAGAAGAAAAATCGTCCGCAGCCCAGAAACCCAGGAAGTATCTTCGAGACGTCGAAAAGTGGCAGCCGAAATTTTCGAAGAACCCCCAACACCCGTCGAGAACGCAGAAAAAATTGAAGTGATCCCGGAAACCCACGTTGGAAGCCCATCCCTGAAACTCGAGAGCGTCAAAGGGGAAAACGGGAGTCTGAGCGACGAAGAACAACAACAACAACAGCGGAACATGTCTGATGCAGATTTCTTCGACGTCGGGAACGAATCTTCGGACGACGATTCCGACAAGGACTCGGACGCCGACTTTTTCGGCGAAGACGAGAAAAAGAAACCCACTGCCAAATCGAATGCCAAAACGACGACCCGCGTGAACCCCGTCGACTGGACCAAGGATGACCCGGCGTGTGGGGAACCCAGGCCCTTTGAGGTCCTCAAAAAGCAGGGCGTCGTCAAGTACGTTGTGGATGGGTTCATTTTCGGCGTGGTTCGAGCGAGTCGTTCGGATCCGATGATCGTGTTTGTGCGGTGTAATCATCACCGAGTCGCCGGTGTGGAGTGTCAAGTGAACGGGGCGGTGAATTTGCGAGAAAAGAATTTCTACTATGACCCTGTTACCCTGGCTGTGAATCATAACCACTTGGAAGCTGCTGTTTCTGACAAACAGAAAATGCTGCCTCCGACATCCGTGAGCTGCTTTTAAAATTTTTTTCATATTTTTTTATGTAAAGCGTAGCATGAAAGCTTGAGAAATTCAGTGGTGACTCGGTTAATGGACTTGTTCATTTTCAGGTGGAAGTAGATGATTGTAGATGTAAATTCTCCAAAAAAATAGCACCTGTGGCCTGCTGCTCTTGATATTTTCATGTGCATGGCTAGCGTAAATGCAGGAGTTGTCCAGTAGTGTTTCGGTTAATGGACTAGATTCATTTCCTTTTAAAAAGTCATCATTGTAAACGCCAATACCCCCAAAAAATTTAAAATTCGTGAGCTGCTTTTAAATTCTTTCAATGGAAAGCTTAGATTCATGAGCAATTCAGTGATGTCTCGGTTAATGGACTTGTTCATTTTCAGGTGGAAGTAGATCATCGTAGATGTAAATTCTCCAAAAAAAAAATCACCTGTGGCCTGCTGCACTTGATATTCTCATCTGCATGGCTGGCGTAAATGCAGAAGTTGTCGAGTAGTGTTACGGTTAATGGACTCATTCATTTCCTTTTGAAAGGTCATCATTGTAAACGCCAATACCCCCAAAAAATTTGAAATTTGTGAGCTGCTTTTCAATTCTTCTAATGGAAGGCGTGGAGTAGATTCATGAGCAATTCAGTGATGTCTCGGTTAATGGACGTGTACATTTCCAGTTGAAAGTCCAACAATGTGCAGGTCGATTCCCATTAAAAATAATTGTCTTCTGTTGGCTGCTCTTGATACGTTCATCTGCAAGGCTAGCGTAAATGCATGAACAGTGCAATGGTGCCTCAGTTAATGGACTTGGTTATTTTCTGTTGAAAGTTCATTATTGTGAAGGCCAATTCTCTGAAAAGAAATTTGATATTTCTCAACTGCTTTTCATGTTTTCATCTGAGACGCTAGCGTAAATGATTAAGCAGTCCAGTGATGTCTCGGTTAATGGACTTATTGATGGTACAGTATTTTCATTGAAAACTTCATTGTGGATTTAGAATTTCTGAAAAGCTCTTCAATTTTCTTCATTTGCAAAGCTAACGTGAATTCATTTGCGGTTCAAGGTTGCTTCGGTTAATGGACTTCTTAATTTCCGGTGGAAAGTGAAAAAAATTGAATATTGAAGTAAAATCGGATATTTTCCTCGACGTTTTCTAGACTCCGAGCAGAAATGGCCCCAAACCGGAACGTCAGCCGCAGTTCCTTCGTCGCATCATGGCCACGGGTAGACGAGGATTTGCCTGCGAACTTTGTGACTTCACCACTCGTGTGCAATTGTTCCTAGTGTCTCACTACCACACCAGTCACAGGGTTCGTATATTGCCAAGAGAATTGTTGAACTTTGCGTGACGCTTGAAACTTGAGTTCACTGGAGGTGTTTTTTTTTCTCTCTCTAAGTGTGCAGTGACGTGTTCTAAGCTTCTAAGGCAAAGTTGCCCTTTATACCACTTGCGGGCCAGATCTGGCCCGCAAAGACTTTTAATCTATCCCGCAGTCCCTTCCCTATAATTTCAAGGTGGTAGCCAGTATTATTCAAAATATGAATACTGTATTCAAAGATGCTTGTAAAGATTCAAAACATTGCTCCACTCTTCAAAAACTGTGCAAGGCTAAGCTTGTGATTCTGCTCTGCTCTGAATTAAATTCGGAACTCTTCATTCAATAAGGGAAAGTTTGGAACCTTGAGAATGGTGGGCCGCACTGTTCGAAGGGCTTCCTAATTTTTTTTTTTTTATATTTTCTCCTGCCCTCCAACTGAGCAGAATGAAGCTCTGAATGAGAGTGATCAACCTTTGTTGTGTTCAACCCCCATGCTGATGAATATGTTTTGTTCAATCCCCCGCCAGGAGTGTGAAGGAGAACGGTGTTTCGAATGCGGTCGTTGTTTCGACAACCATGACGAGTATCAGGAGCACATGGACCGACATCTCGTGGATGCGAGGGAAAAGGTGGTTTGCTTGTCTTGCCGAGCCCCCATGAAGAAAGTTTCGTTCCCCTTGCACGTTCGGGGGTATCACAAGGGCAAGATTTTGTGGACTGCGGCCCACAGAGAAGCGGCTGGTCTGAAAATGATACGTTGTGCTTTGTGTCCCTACCAGGTGAGAATTTTGACGATGGTTTTTTTTTTTTCGAGTGGTTTTTGGTGAATGAGTGTTGAGCCGATTTTAAGATACAGTACTTCGACTTATGCGTGAATTAAGTATCAAGGAATGAATTTTCTTCTGTCTCTGAAAATGTGAGCCCACCAAGAGAAAATTCTGACCTGGAATAATGAAAGAGATAGGGATGATCTGTGAATCGTTGTAAAAAGACGGTTTTTAGCGAAGTCTTGGAAAAAAATTTAGGATCCTTTGACTCATGCTTGAATTAAGCAGGTAGGAATTTATGTTTTGCTTTGTATACTTGGATGAAATGTTCAGAAGACAACCGCATCGAGTGCTGATTATTTTCTTCTGTCGCTGAAAATTTGAGACCACCAAGGGACAATTTTGATCTGCAAGAATTAAATAGATTGGCGTGATGTGTGAAACGTGGGGGGTTTTTTTTAAAGCGAAGTCTTGAAAGATTGTTGAGCCTATTTTAGAATCTTTTGACTCATACGTGAATTAGACAGGCAGGAATTATTATTTTTTAAATAGTTTATTTGCTTGGATGGAATGATGAGAAGATACAAAATTGATTGCTATTAATTTTCGTCTTTCGCTGAAGATCTGAGCCCACCAAGGGGCAGTTCTGATTTACAATAATAAAATAGGTTTGAATAATGATTGAAAAGTCCGGAAAAGCATGTGTTCGCTGTGAACTAGAATTTATAGAAAATTTCAATGTTTCGCGCAATGCAAAAACGTTTTTGATCCTTGGAATTATTTTTTTTTTTCTATGGATAAATTTTTAATGCGCTTTGTATTTGATTTAATTTGTGCTTGACTAACTAGGTTGAGGGAAAGAATCCCTTCCATTTGCATGCTGTTCAAGCCCATTATGGAGAGAAGGCGTATGCTTGTGAGATGTGTACGGACACGTTCACGTCAGAGAGGAATTTGAGGGACCATATGAACGTGGTGCACGTTTTCGGGGACCATTTTCATTGCAAGAGCTGCGGATTGGAATTTGATACCAGGATCAAGTGAGTTATTTTATTTTCATTATCACAGTATATTCAATCTCTTATCTTTTAGAAATTTTTGATTTCTCTTGTGGGAATGACATTTGTTTTTTTTTTTGTGCAGATTACAGAAGCATCGTCTTCTCCACATGCCACTCAAGGGAAAGAAACTGTGTCCTGAATGTGGTGTCGCATTTGCTTTTCATGCGTACCGGGATCATATGGTCTTGGTGCATAATCAACCGGTGAGTACTGGGGATTTTATCTTGGGAGATGCCGTAATTATTTTGTACGAGATTTGTCCCAATGTCTGTACGATGTTCGGAATTTTAATTCTGGCGTTGTTGGAATTCAAACCAAGAAACATTTTTAATATTTATCCATGAAGATTTAGGCTTTTGCCCATTTTTCCTAGATCTTTAAGACGTTTTTTCAAGATAAAGTCAAATGAGGACTGGGAATTTTTTTTGTATGGCCGGAGTTTTTCACTCATTTTACAGTGTCCTGAAAAATTGTCAAGAGAGATGACAATTTTCAAAATTTGTTGTTGTGTAGAATATTACGTTTCTCACAGCTCTTGAACATTTCGGAATTTTTTGACGATAAGTTCTCTCGTAGTAAATGCCAAAAGGCAGAAATTGTTTTGGGTGGGGAGGGGTGCAATGGCACAAGTTTATTGTACAGTGTTCCTCTCGATATTTTGCAAAGGATGATTTTTGTGCATTACAATTTATTCATTTATTCTTCATTGGCTCGAAATGTGATTTAATTTGGCTGATTGGAAAGAGAGGTAGTATTGGATGATTAATTGCCTCCTTTTTTATGTCATGTCCGATTTCTCAAGGTCTCATGTACCTGTTGTTGTTTTTGCTTCACAGAATAGCCTCAAATGCACGGAATTCGGCGAGGAATTCACTTGTTCAAAAATTATTGTGTTAAGCAAAAAAGAACGCAATTCTGGGGGTTGCAATGTTATGGTTGTCATGAACAATTTTTCTCAATATTTTTTGAAGGCTCACTTTTTTGTATTACAATTATTTTTTTGCTTGAAGGGCGATTTTAATTTGGCTGATTGAAAAGCTATTGGATGATGAATTGCACCTTTTTGAGTTTCACTGGGTCTCATGTTCCTCTTTGTTTTGTTTTTTTTGCTTCTTTAGACCAGCCACAAATGCAAAGAGTGCGGCGAGGAAGTGGCCACGTACAACCGCCTCCGAAGTCACATGACGAAAGCCCACGGCGTCATTTTCCCGCCGCCGAAACGGAAGTTTAAAATCTGCGAAGATTGCGGCAAGTCCTTCAGGTCCATCACTTTGTATCAGACTCACCGAGTCCAACATCACGGAGAAGATCCCCCACCGTCTCGCGGCAACACCAACTGCAGCTTTTGTGGACGAGAATGCAAGACGAAGATGCTTTTGAGACAACACCACATCAACGCTCATGGGTGGTATTTTATTGAGCAGGTCAAGGACGGAATCTCGTGCAAAATGTGCCAGGCCGTTATCCGAGAAAAGTGAGTTTTCTTATTTTTTTCTCGTGCTTCGGTTTTAATGGACTTCATTCATTCTTGGAGAGAGAATGATGTTATCCCAAATTTTGTTGAAAAGAAATGTGTTGAATGTATTAGCCTCTTTGGAATACAATTTTATTATTTCAAAAATTTTACAGTTACTTGGGATTTTTTTTTTCAACAACACTTGGAATAAAGTTGACCTACAGTAATTTGATCACATGATTATTTTCTCATGCACCTCTTTCAATTAGCTGAGAATTTTTCAAGTAGAATTTTCAAGCCTGGATAAAATTCCACCATTTGTTTTGTGAGGTTTGTGGTGGTTTAATGGGGCTGTGGTTTATCAAAAAAGTCGAAGTAATTTGAAAATCGAATATAATCTTTACTAATAAAGTTGCTTATCTCTGTACGTCGGTTCGTCTGCGCGTACGCACTTTCCCTCCCCAGTTGCCCCCTACCTCCCTCCCACAGAGCCCCCAGAGAGGCCTGCAGGAGGGTCCCGTTTCCCGTGGTGAGGACTTTGAAAATTTGCCAAAAATTGAATTAACTAGCAAAATTCATTTTTAAAACTTCATAATAAGCACCATGATGTTTTCTACATTTCCCTTTTTTTAATTTTGAAAAAGCTTAAAAATTCATAAAGTTACAGTGAAAAACGCAAAACGTTTTTCAAAAACAGGAATGAATTGGGAAAAGAACACTTTTACATTTGTAATTTTAGCTTTATGAATTTTCAATTTTGCTCCATCAATAAAATATGTAAATTCGCAAAACATCCATGTGCATTCACCCATAAATTATGATTTGGATTCCATTAGTGATTAAAGAGTTATGAGAAAAACTCAAAAAAATGGACATTTTTGAAAATTTTGTTTCCCGTTTTGCCAACTTTAAAAAAATGTCACAATTTTAATTATCAAGCAATTTCCAAATTTTTTCAAGATTTGCATGCGCACTAATGTTCCCTAAATTGCATTTTTTGATATTTTCCAGAAACTTGAAAATTGCAAAAGATAGAATGAAAAATGCAAAAACGTTTTCAAAAATTGTATGAAAATCAGGAAAAAACAATTTTTTATTTAGAATTTTTACTCATTCAATTTCCAACATTTTTCAGACATAAAAATATGTAAAATCATAAAACATCTGTTTGCATGTAACCCTGGTACAAAGTTTGAAATTGCATCAAAATCTCAAAAGTTACAATGAGTTAAACTGAAAACATTGAATTCTCCTTTCCATTTTGCCAAGTTTAAGAATTGTTTAAAAATTCAATTTTAACTTAATTTTCAAATTTCTTTCAATGTTGCAAGCACACAAATGTTTTCAAAATCTTGCTGTTTGAAATTTTGAAAAATCTTCAAAATT